GWGTTCAAAAACCAATCTCAGCAACTTAGTGAGGCCCTAAGCAACTCAACAAGTCTGTCTCTAAATAAAATATAAAAAAGGGCTGGATATGTGGCTTAGTGGTTAAGTGCSCATGGGTTCAATCCTGGATACCCTAAAGAAAAAAAGTTCATATGTGGCCAGGTGTGGCAGGTCATTGTCAGAAGACACTATGACTCTCCCTGGGGAATGAGTTTTCTAAGCCTCAAACACATTCACTAATACTATCTCCTAATATGTAGATTTAATAGCCTGGTTAAATTAATCACCACCCAATCAAAAGCAACCAAAGCTTCAAACTTCAGGAGACCAAAGTCACACCCAGACCTGATTATCGCTACAGCTGTGTGAGGTGCTGAGCAAAGACTCTGGTCTGAGAAGTCTTCTCTCACAGAACTCCTGTGCCTACAGGGGAAGAACAGGAACTGTGGCTAAAGGAACAGGACCCAGAATCTTGACTACATGGGTTCAAATTTCTGTTTTGTTACAACTGATGATCTTGGGCATTGGATCATTGCTCCACGTGACTTGCCAGCTCTTGGTATTGTCAGGGCTAGATCTGAGGAATTCACACTTGTGCTCAGTTTCCTCCTCTACAAAGTGAGAACAGTAATAGTATCTACTTCATAGTATTATTTCAAGGTTTAGATGAATAAAATGTTATAGAACCGTGCCATATGCAAGATGAAAGCTTATTTTCTTCCATATAATTTTCTAAAACAGTTCATATTTCCAGCAATGTTTACCACTTCTATAAAAAGAATAATATATGTCATTACTGTGCTTGTTTTGCATTTCTTCTTTGCTGCTAATACCTTTATAAACCTCTGATTTCAGTGAATTTCTTTATTTTTTTTTCCTGGATAAAATGCTTAGATGTCAACTCACCACTACTGAATAAACCATTTTTATCAAGGCCAAATTCCATCTGTCTTGTATTCTTCCCTTCTCTCCCTTCTAATATTTATAAACTTTTGAGAAGAGAAATAGCCTGAATTAGAAAGTAGATAAAAGGATTTTCTTTCTTATGCCTGATTGCTGACAATTAAATTTGACTACCTTCATTCCACTAGCAACCTATAAAGAATTTTCTCAAACCCTCATAAATGTCTAAGTGACCATTTTTATATTAACAACCTAAATTTCCTCCCTAATATTATATGCATGGAATATGTATAATTTTTAGTATGAAAACCAAAATGACAAAATGCTCAGTAGGTAATTTATTCTAATAATAAACTATTTTTAACTTAGCATGTTTCTAATTTGATTTTATAGACCCAAATAATCATGGGAGGGGACAAGTGGCTGTTGTGGGTATTTGCTTTACATTTTGAATGCATTAACAGTGTTAAGTTGTAAAATAAAGATTACACTATAATCAGGTATATAGTAAAAGCATATAATCAGGCATGTGGTAAGCCATAAATCCAAACAGCATTCTCCATTAAGCCTCTATTCATACCTAGCAATATATTGCCAGGTGCTATAGATACCAAGAACACATCAACTCTGATCTTCAAGCAACCTAATTATGTTTCTTGCAGACAACATAATGCTGTCGAGATTTATCTATATTGCTGTATGTGCTGGTAATTATTTCATTATTAGGTAGTATTCTACTACATAGGTAAAATTTTTTTAATCAATCACACATAGATGAAAATTTATTTCTGATGTTATTATAAGTAAAACTTAGGAACACCTGTGTACAAGTTTTTATTTCTCTTGTGTATATAACTAGGAATGGAGTGTATACTTGACTTTATTAAAAAATACTGCCAATTTTTTTTTTACTAATGTAGTTATGAAATTTTTATATTCCCAACAGTACAAGAGCTCATTGCTCCATGTGGCTTGCCAGCTCTTGGTATTGTCAGTGTTTTTAATTTTTATCCTTGTTCAAAGGAAAAATTGGAAACCAATGCTTTAAAAATGTTAATCACAGAGGCAACTCGGTACACAAAAACTGATAGACTGTTTGAGAAGTCAATTGGGGAATCCAATGAGAGATACTCAAATCCTATCCCAAGGCAATGTGAATGAACCAGAAAGATCATTTTTTCTCTTCACAGAATTACAGCTGAAAAACCCAAATAGATCATCTCATTTCCCCCATTCCAGCACCTTTTTGGATATCTCCAGAGGATACATAACCCACTCTGACAATAGTAAATTTTAAGATTACAATCCTCTCTCTCTCTCTCTTTCTCTCTCAGGTTACAGATTATATCAGACATTGGAAAAAATTTCACACAAAGAAATATAAGCAAAAGATTGTTGAAATATATATGTATCACACTCATGCATATTTTGACAAACTTTTAAAGTCATATCACCTCCACCTTTTTCTTTTTCTTTAACTTAATTTTAACCATTCTCCAAGCAGCATTAAACATTATTTACAGACCTTGACCTAATTGGACAAAGTCTGCCTGTTCAAAATRAATAGCTGGTTTTCATCAACCAAACCACAAGAGTTGAAGGGCCCTGCCTCCCAGAAAGCGTAGGCAGATAAGTCTTTCACACTAACAGCAGCAAGGAAACTGTCATTGCAGAGCTCAGCTGGAACTTCACAACCTCCTGTATGAGGTAACCTTACAAAGGTTACCTGTTGTAACCTTTGGCTCAACAGGAGAGCCTTACAAAGGTTACCTGTTGGCTCAACAGGAGAGAAGGAGAAGTGCAGAATCCTGCTTGGTTAGCTAATGAAGCTGCCATTTCTTCTGCCTCAAATGCCGCTCACCCACACAGCCCCCTTTAAAACTACTGAAGTCCTACTAAAATTTTCCAGAATCTCTTGGTTCCTCCAACTAGGCCAAATTCTCCTCATAATGCTTATCTGTATTTTTTCCTTTTTGGCCTTTTCATAGTTTATAATTATGTTTATTTTAATGTGTAACTTATTAACATCTACTGCTTTTTCCCCCCACCAAACTAGGTTAATTGCATGAATTTTTCTTATAACTATACACTTGGCACCTAGAAGGCTCAGTACATAAAAAGCACTTAAAATTACTTGAATGACTAATTTATAGTTAACTAAAGCATTACCTTTTCTGGTAATACTACATTATCAGGACTGACATGCCTCTAGGCTTTACATAAATTGGAAAATAAAGGTGGTTAYTTCTTCATCATTTATTAGGAAAAAATCAAACTGCAAATAATGGTGTCATGGTTGCCTGGCCTTTTCCTGCCCCAATTTCCATCAGACTGTTCTCTGCAAGGTCTGATCTACTTTATCTATCCATACTCTCGAAATTCAAAAACCATGAAAAATATGAAGTTTTGGAGAACAAGAGATTTTCCTCCATTAGAATGCAACAAATAAGCAATCCACATCATTTCAGACTTTAGCCTGAAGGACTTGGCAATTTGTAAGGGAAACGCAGTTATCCAGTCAGTCCCAGGTCATCATCTTCTATGGCAGAGGAAATGGTTATGCTATTTCACTGAGATGAGGTTGTCATAGTCCTCGTGTCACGCTCATGGACTTTATGATCAGAAATAGGCAGACAATTGCGTACACCTAAAATCCAAACACAGCTATTCTCTTCTCAGTTAAAAGTATATATTAGGTACAACTCAAGTGGCTCCTGGACCATCCACCTTTCCTTCAACTACCTGCCTACTGGAAATCTCAATGAAATATTGAGCAAATACAGCTTAACAAAATCAAAATTATGCACTGGGCCCCTGATGTTCCATTCAGATCACACATAAAACAAAATRTACTGGAATGTATTCTATACATTAATGGTATAAACAATAGGATCAAAATTCAAGAATATGAAAGTATTTTAAGGTTTGAATCATTAACAAAATACTAGAAAGGTCTTGGGAAGGGCTACTACTTTCTTTCACTTAGTCATTATATACAAATTGAGACCCTACCGTTATGTCAGGCACTGCTTAGCACACTAAAGAAATACAAATATCTCCTTAAAATAACCAAATTTTATTAGCCTACTGTTTATTTGAGGAGATATTCCAAGGTTCATTTCCTCACATTCATTTAAATAAAAGCTTTGCTCTAAATATTGAAAAATTGTTCTTACCAAAGTGCTGTGTTCTTATTTTAACCTAAGTCTTACAAATTTACATATTCTGATAAAAAGTTACTTCCATCTTGAAATGAATTCTGATAAATAATCTGAGGCTTAGTTTTTTAAAAAAAATTAAAAAGGGGCCCAAAATAGGTTTATTCCCAAACCACAACTGAAAGAAATTTTTTTATAAAAATGAATTAAGATAAGCTTAATTATTCCATTACTTTTCTATAATAAATATGAGGAAAAATTACAAATGCCTCTGGTTCTCAGATTAGTATCACCCACCCATGGAAATTTATCCAAATTTTATCTCAGAAAACTCAGTATGATTCCACAAGAAATCCCAYAGATCTCCCATAATCACAAACAGAAAGAAAAATAATCCAACAAAATCTAAGCTTAATAAAACAGATGCCTCTTTCTGACAAGCGATGGCTGTCAGGCAAAGCAATGATTTGTGAATCAAATCTTTCTCATGTTACAGAACGTGCCAATATTTATCTCAAGACAAACTGTTACTAATTATTGGCAACGGTCTAGAAAAAGCAAGTCAATGAAACTCAAGCTGCTAGTAATGACAATTATGCAAATACTAAGAATTGTTCTGAAAAAAAAAAATCCACAGAGGACAGAGCCTTCCTACCAAGGAAGGTATGAACAATCAAATGTGTCTGCCAGACCCTCTGCAGGAACTCCTAATGATCTGGAAATACATTAAGATTGAACCTCACTGCCCTTCCACCAGAAGGCAACCAGAAAAACAGAGGCACTCAAGTTAATAAGAATCAGAAGGTGACAACAGAGGAAACAGAAAAGAAGAATCGAAGAGCAGACATCTACAAAATGATTACGACCCTCCTGGAACCCRAGAATCCACTGTTTAAAATGGTAGTTGTAATAATAACACGAATTTTTGGTTTTCGTTACCTGACAGGCAGATATAAGTTAAATATTCGCCTTGACCTCCAGTTGCCAAAAAAGGAATCTTTTTCTTTGTCCTCCTCTTGACTTGGACAGCTCCCAGCATCCTTTCATCAAGAGGTGCAAAAATTTCCTTGCTGATGGCAGATTTGGCACTCATCGTAGAACAAGCGAGGAGGAAAAGGAGTCAATTTTCTAAAGAGGGAAAAGAAAAGGAAAAGTTGGGACTGACAATATTGTAGGGGCTCATAAAATAATGAGCACCACACTGATTCACAGGAGTACTTTTCAATAAGCAGTTTAACTTCTTACTTGCTTGAAATGCATTTCAGAAACATTAAAAGCAAGGTCTTCGTATATGTGTTAGCCATGGAAAAATACAAACAAAATGAGGWTGCCTTTTTACTCCCTGAAAATGTCAAACACAACGTGAGTGGAGCCACACAGAATGAGATCTGAGCAGCTAGATGATTTCTACCCCAACTGTACCTCACTCTAACTGGCAATAGGCACCCACTTTACATGCATTCTGTAAGGAATGCGACTTCACACTTCCAGTTGAGAAGGCTTTCCACCAACCAACAATCTGTAAAAGTTCTTTATGTCCCKTCTACAGCTCCTTTAAGTCTAATAATGTAAATCTATTTCCCTAATTCCATTTATAGTGGAAATAATTATATCATCTTCTACATAATAATTATATATGCAACAAAAGATCATTAATTTAATCACTCTTCAGCWGTTTTTGATCAAGCCAAGTAAGGAATTTATTTATTAGCCTCATGCACCAGGCCCTAGTTTCCAGCCCTCCTCTGCATCTTATTGCCATGCTCTGGAGTCTTGCCAAGTTCTGCACATTGTTCTTCAGCCAAAGTGGACACAGAATTCTTTAAAAATATCTGACTAACCCCAAGTATTTTGGAAATGTTACCAGGCAGTTCCCACATGTTCTACTCTTATGGTTAACTGGCAGTGGGCGCCCAATAATTAAGAAAATATAGCAGTATGTTGCTGACTCACATAACCCCGCCCCCCACTGCCCAACTTACATGCACAGTTATATTTAGTTTTCCAGTAGTTGTACTTCCCTGATGATCTCAATTCTGCTTGTGTCTATTGTATTCAAGGTCAATTTGAGCAACTTAGAAAACGTTCTCTATTCCATCACTCTATCCATAGTGATCTATTTAATCACTCACCACCCAACATGTTTTTGGACAATTAGAAAATCAGAATTAAAGGTGCAGAGAGAGCCTTTGGTGTGTCATGCAGGTTATATTGAGAACTCAGAGATCCTGCATATGGATCAGTAGCACAGCTATACATAGTAACAGCAGCTCAAAGAGTTGATCAGAAAGCTGTAAAATTGAGCCAATCGGTGAACAAACATCTACTACGTGCACTTTATGCTTAGTATTAAAGATATAAGAAAAAATTAAACTACATATGTCTTCCAAGAGTTGACTGCTGACCATATGGAAGGATTCACTTAAATACTAATGATTTATCTGAGAAATACATGAGAGGATTTTTCCCAGTACAAGATTCACAAATGCTACCAACACAGCCGGCCTCCTGTAACTTGTCCACACCTATACCTTCTTGGTTGGAAAATATACATTAAAAACAAAAAGTCCCTCTAGTTAAATAAATTTCTCCTAGTCTTAATTCTATAATGAAGCATGTTTCCCTAATGACACCAAGAAAGTATATCAACTTATAACACCAAAAATACATACCTAAAGATGTAGACATTAGAGATGTACCCAGATCTCCTTGTGCTTTGCTCACAACATTTTTATCATCATCACCAGGTTCTTCATGCTGGCCAAGAAAATGACAATGTACTGACCACTAACATGGCATACTGTCATTTCCTACAGGTTGGCAAACAGAACATCCCCCATGATTTACATGTTCTTAGGGGATTATTACATTTTTTTTTCTTTTTGATACTAAGGATTAAACCCAGGGATGCCTAACCACTGAGCTATACCCCCAGCCTTTATTTAATATTTTATTTAGAGACAGGGTCTGGCTTAGTTGCTAGGTGCCTCAACAAGTTGCTGASGCTGGCTTTGAACTCGAGATCCTTCTGCCTCAGCCTCCTAAGCTGCTGTGCCACTGCAACTGGCTACAATTTTTTAACTATGATTTTTTTTTAATAATGAGGATTTTTTTTTWAAGATACACTCTAGCTCCAAGGCCTCTCACTTCTCACCATTTAGGGACATGTTTAAAAAGAGAGAGAGAGCAGTATTCATGCAGTGGCTTCAAACCATTCTGTAAGCAAGGAAGAAAGACATTCCCCAACACATCAGGCACTCCCTGACCAGAACCTCCCAACTGGCATGGCTTTTGCTTTTCCATCTTAGTTCGAATTTTTCTAAAACTAGTTAAAAAGAAATAAAAAGATCACTTTATTGTGCAAAAATCCATCAGAAAAATAAGAAAACAGATGCATAATTTTACCATAAATTTACCCAAAATACCTTTTTTTTCTTTTAGAAAAACTATTGAGAAATGAAAATGACCTTTTGTTGTTTTTATCATACTGATATTCAATGGCCAATAACAAACAGGGGGGGAAAGGGTGAGAGAGAAAAAATCAGTAACTTCACTGAGTCTTGAAATCAACAAACTCAGGTTCAAATTTTAACAGCAACACATAAAACCTGTGTGATTTGTGTAAATCTCAAAATCCCTCACCCTAAATTTACTTACTACAACATGAAGATATCTTCACCTACTTCCTAGAATTAAAGAACTAAAATGAAACAATGTGTGCAGATCACTGATTCCAGTACCTGAAAATTTTTTTTAAAAAAATGCTTAGCTGTGGTGATTTTTTATTAACTTTCCTACTATAATAGAATAATAAAAGAGCCTCTGAACTTGTATAAACTGAACAAATGTAACCACCCACACCAGAAGGTATTTATAAAAGTGAAACCCAACTTTAGTCACTAAAGCCTCACTTTTCTCACTCATGGGCATGAAATTCTCTATGTATGATAAATGGTCTCTTAGATGGCAAGCTGTGCACTAAATGTTATGAGAATGAAGAATTTACAGACTTCAACAGGAAATTCACTAGTAGATTATCAGATTCATTCTATGAAAAGTCATCAAAAGCTTTTGTTAGGGCAATGATACTAATGAGCCTATGTAGAGCACATACGTGTTGAGTATGTTTTCAATGTCACACTGGGAATGTAATGTAGCATGGATAAGAAGGGAAAGAATAAGAAAGTAAAAGGGTGACTCTTGTAGTTGTTTGACAATAACTTTGAAGAGTGTCTCTACAAGAATCCCAAATCAGGTTGAGTTTGTGAGTCCAGGATGGAGGGCTTTTAAAATGCACAGACTCCTGCACCATCCTTCAAAACCACCAAGTCAGAATCTTAAAATCTGTATTTCAAACAACTCTCTGATTCCTACTGTTTCATGCAGTCATCCTGCCACCTAATTTAAAATCTATTACCCTAAAGAGAAACTTTGGGTCTGGACTAGCAAGGTGGAAATAGGAATGAAAATGAAGAATCAATTCATGAGAGAATACAGGCAGACAGTGCACAGGATTTCTTTTTTCTCTTCATTTCACCAAGTAGCTGTAATGAGTTATTAAATCTTTGTTGGTAATTCAATGTCCAGKCCAAGACCAGGGCCCCATTTTAAGGAAGCAAGATAAATACAAAAGCAATCATGCACCAATGACCACTTGTTACTCCAATCTGCATGACCCATGGAAGCTTTTTCTTTCCCAGGTCCATAGCTTCTATAGGACACAATTACAAAGCTTTTTCATCCAAGAAGCCAACCTAGTATTGACTTGCAAGTCAAAGCAACTGGCTGCCTTGAGTGGTAGTTGCAGAAACTAATCACAGTTCTGATCTTCTTCAAGGTCTTTTTCATTCATGCTTTTCTTACTTTAAGCCATATATTTAATACATATCCACTTAACTGGTGCATGTCTACTGTAGTGGGATGGCTTTCCACCACTCAAGTAACCAGAAAATAAAATAACTATTTAGGCAAGTGTAAGAAACTGAAGAAAACTCAGGGGCAGGGCAGGTGAAATGCATAATTCAGGGCATATAGGTGTAAGGTTTTGTACTCAGATAATAACACTGTGGGTTTTCAGTAGAACTGATGTTTGTCCTCCACTGGCAAGAGACTAGGAAGGAGTAGGGACCTTCAGCCAACCAAAAACCACCACTGACAAGGCATTCATTATCATGCAGGGGAATTCTAGAGGAGCAGAGCCTTAAATCTGAGAGGAAAGAGAAGTGCCATCCATTCAGCTTAATACTATCAGATTCTTGATTTATCTAACATCACTAACTCCTCTCTTTATCTAAGATTATTAACCTCTCTCTTCTAATCCCATGTTTAACATACAGCCTTTCCATCATGTTTTGGCCCTGGTTGTGCCAATACAGGTATTACGGACTGTGTGCCAGCTAAACTCTGTGCTGTAAATGAGTAACCACAATTCCTGGTTTTACACATCAGCCTCATGAGGCAGTTAATGTGATTCAACTCTGAGGCAGATGTACTTGATATGCTGAGAGCATATGTCAGTGTCTCTCAAGCTCAGAGCCAAGGTGATGTCATCCTGGAAGACTTTGGGAGAAAATCAGCTGGTCTTCCCTAGTGCATGGGAACACCAGTGAGATGAACCTAAACAATTTAGAAATGAGAGAAATAAGATTACTGTCTAAAATTGGATTTCTCTACATTGCCACTTTGTTTTTAAAACAGTTTTTGAAGTGTAACTTCAACCCCTCACCCATAACCTGTGAGACATGTCATGCCTCCAGTTTTGTTGCCTTCCTGACTTTAAAGATGTGCATCTATCTGTAGACTGAACATTTCCACCAATACCTAACCATGATTCTTCCTTTTCCCTCAAATCCTTCAGTTCCCCATAACAACCATTCAATCGTCAAGCCCTGTGCATTTGATTTAATATTTCTGGACTCCAGTTTTTTTTTCATTCTAACTTCTTCTGCCTAAGTTGCAGTCTTCACCATCCTGGGCCTGAATGATTTTCATGGCTCCTCTAAAGGGACTACCATTTTGCTCCAACTTCAATGCAATCAACCCTCTACATTCTCCAATGTCATTCTACAAGATGAATATGATTGAAGCATAATTGTATTTAATTGTTTCTTCTCCATGCCTCACATCTT